GGTTAGCTGGTGCCGAGATCTGTGCTTGCCAGGGCCAGATCAGTCAGCCTCCCGTAGCCCAGTAGAGGAGGACTGGGGGACAGGACAGAGGGCTTAGTACTAGGGTGGGTTTCCCATAGTACGGGTGAAGGGGCCGATACCCCTTCAACTATTGTATCTGTCCCGGAGTTAATAAACAGTGTGTCTCAACTTCGACATCGTCTCCTCTGCTACTTACTACACATGTAATGTTCTGCATATTCCTTCAATAGAGGTGGTCATTCATGAATTTAGTTCATTCATTCATATATTTAACTTCTTTTCTCTAATTCTAGATTTGAAGCTTGATGCAGCAAATCTGGCTGTGACGGTCCCACCTGATGACGGAGACTTGTGTTGCCTCCGAAACGTCGTGATTTTATTGTTTTATTTTTATTAATTTTTATTTCATTTTTTACCTACGTGACTTTACCGAAAGAACTAAGAGTATGAATCATTTTCTCTACACAGTTAAAAAAATATTTCTGCCAAAAAAAGTGACCAAAAAACACCCATAAGTTACAACAACAAAAACTAATTCTACCCACGGGAAAGCATGGCTGCTCTTAGATTTTATCGTCATCAATCATCAGCCATGGTCTATACACTGCTGGATGACGACCTCCACATATTTCACAGTTCGTGATGCAGCAATCCATCTCGCGCCTGCAACACGAGCTCATCTCATTGCTCCACGTGTCTCAGGCATGTTGTTCTCGACTTTCGGGGCAATTACCTTAGAAAGCTATCAATAGTACAGCTTTTTTTGTCATCTCCGAAAAATGTATCCCTCGCACCGTAGTGGAATAGTTGGAGGTTTAAAGCAATGACACCTGTGTGATATGATCTTCATACTTCCAAGTGTGTGTCTGTGCACAATGGTATTCACCTAGAACTGAATCATGTCCAATTATAGTCATTCAATAAGGGATTATACCTTCACAAACATTTTGTATATATGTTTAACACGCAGGCTTTCGTGACCAATATAATCTATAATAGAGGGTTTTTTTTTGGGTTAGATTGCGTAAATATATAAACGTGTCGTTAAACCCGCCACCACCCGACACAGCCAATTAGTAAGGTTTGTCACGTAAACAGAACATGCCAATTCGTTACCAGCACAGCACACCGGTGTGTTGGAGAGTAAACCCAGAACATTTACAATCTGAGTACGATGTTTCGCCAGAAATTACAGCCAGCATCATCAGGTGACAGACAGATTTGTGAAGAAATCCTCCTGTTTCATTCTTAAATAGAGGGATAGATGTGATGACGTCACTTGTGAACCACTCACGTGCGAAAGCCAGAGAGCAGGGGGGGGGGGGTTTAATGCCAACACATCACAATGGGTATCCATTACCGGTCGGGTTCTTCATATGGTGATCAACGTACATTATGCACGCGCGTTATGCATGCACATTGTTTTTGTAGAGCTCACAGGTAATCACCATCAACGTTACGGTGACCTGTATATGCATTAAGTTAAACAGTGCATTACTTGATGATTCGCTTCCAAGCAGCATTAAGCCTGTAGCTATCCCGACGGTTAATATTATTTTTATTTCTCTCAATTTCGATATATTATCGAATTAATCTTGGCCATTATTAACTAGTTTTGCACAAAACTTCAACATTATCAAAATCAATTGAGTGTCCTTGTTAGCAGGCGTGTTCTGCTACTGCTGACAGTTGTATTTGGGAGTATTTAATATTTATCTGATGTTCTTTTAGTCTCGTGGTGATCATTCGTCCTGTCTGACCAACATACCATTTGCCACAAAAGCAATTATTTCGGTACACACCTTCTGTTCAAGTTCAAGTTCATTTATTAGGTATAGCCCTGTGAGCCATTCAGCTCTTGAATCGGGTGCAACCGCAACAAACAAAAAACAAAAAACATGAACAAAAAACATCTTAAAGTGAATATGTGACTAAGTGCAAACAGAAAATCCAAGAAAAGACAGCAAAAATATTGCAGAAAAAACACCGTACACCAACGCTGTGTGCAAAAATCCCAGTGGGATGCAAGTCAAACAACAACAACAACCACAAGACAACTTAGATTAAGGCCATCAGTCTAACTCTGTACTACAACAACACAAACAATACACTTTTCGAAATCACCAAAATAAAGCCATGAAAGCAATGATAAAGCAATCATAGGAACTGTGACGGAATTTTCACAATAAATGGCATAAACAACATGTACTACCAAAACCCTGCAGCCATAGCTGGCTGCATGAGTCACTCCACAACAGCAGGAGCATCAATCGGAGTATTGTAAATTTTCAATGCACCTTTAAGATCAGCACACTAAATCAAAACACAGGTCATACTTTGTAGCGATCATCCAGAGCGAAACATTTTATTTTAGGTCACTGAATAGCACTGGCAGCTAGGGGTGTACAACTCCTCTAAAGCAGTTTTGAGTGAAGATCTCATAGGTAGTGACTCAAGTTTCAATTTATTTGCAACAGCATTCCAGACTCTGGGGGCATCAATAGCAAAGGCCCTTCCTCCAGTATATGTACGGCAATAGGGAATATTAAGCTGGTAAATGAGTGTAGACCTTAGGTCAAATTTGTTCTTTGAAACAGAGACGAGATCCAGCAGGTAATCTGCAGATTTTTTTGCAAGTACATCATGAATAAATAAGATCTGGTGCACAAGCCGTCGAACATTCAGAGATGTTAAGTTTGACCCAATGTAGAGATCACAGTTGTGAGTCCTATATGGGCAGTTCAATGCAAATCTTAAGGCCGAGTGATACATTGAGTCAAGCTTCTTCAGTACAGTACTTGGGGCTGATTTATACACAATGTCACAGTAATCAAGTAGAGGCAGTATGGTAGCTTTAATCAATTCCAAACGGGACATAGGGGGGAAGCAGTGCTTGTGTCGATATAGAAAACCAATTTTAATTTTTGTCTTTTTCCCAATATAATCAATGTGATCTTCAAAATTCAGTTTTGAATCCAGGATGACCCCAAGATACTTATAGATCTTGACTTGCTCTATTTGATCATTATTTAAGGTATGTAATTGGGGAAAAATAACTTCCCGCTTTAGTCCTGGTGAGAAGCATAGCACCTTGGTTTTGGCAGGATTTAGGACTAGTTTAAGAGCAACTAGCTGATGTTGTAGTTTGTTGAAATCAATCTGGAGCTTAGCAATCACGTCATCCGGAGAGCGGCCAGCAGTAATTAGTACCGTGTCATCTGCAAAAAGATTTACCCTGGAATAATCCAGTTCAGTGCCCAAGTCATTTACATAAAGAGAGAACAAGAGGGGGCCGAGAATGGAACCCTGTGGAACCCCTTTTGTTATCTTAACACTGTTTGACCTCCAACCCTATGTGAATACAGTTTGGGTGCGAGAAAAGAGGTAATTTTTTAACCATTTTACTGTTGATAGCTTCGGTAATACATCTTTAGTACCAGATATTCGTTTCTGTATTTCATGTACTGTGCCAAATCTGACTCGGATGTTTAGTTTTTTTTCCAAAAAATCTGGCTAGTTTATCAGTTACTCCTGCAATATACGATATTTTTTCAGATCTTTTATATTAAGTTCACTTGCGCGCTTGCTTGCTTACGACCGTGCAAATCTTTCGGTCGTTTTTTAACCCACTTCCCGTGATCCAATCGAGCTGACATTTTCCACACAGACTCGTTGTGCGTGACAATTAATGTTCGTGAAAAAAAATTCCAAAATTTTACACTTTTTAGGACTAAATATTATATTTAATTACCAATTGCTTAATGCTGGCATGCAATCATCTGACCCATAGGTGGCAGCCATCTCAAGCCAGAGGACGAGAGGACTCTAGCCGCCACGCAAATAAAGGATTTATAGTGAAAAACTTTGTTTTTACGGGTTATACTTGTTACCGTTTCGGCCGCGCCCGAGCAGAATATCCAGAAATGGAAGAGTTGTCAACTTCCACTTCCATGGTGAACTGGATGGACGGGTTTTGCGAGTTGAGATTATAAAAAAATTCGTTAAGTGTATATTTGCCCTGTGGCCAGACCACCAATGTGTCATTCACATATCTAAACCAAGCTATGTGTGTATGTTTAACTTTTTTGCGCATCGTACGTTTTAGACAACCATGCTATTTGGAGGTTGCGGCGAGACCAGATGATGAACAAGCGAGGCTTTCATCCAGCAGTGGATGGTCCACGGCTCACGATCATGATGATGACGTTAAAGATATGATTGTGATGATGAATGGTGATGATGGTGACGACGATGACGATTATGACGACGATGACGACGATGACAATGATGACGACAGTGATGGTTGCGGTGATGGCGACGACGATCATCATGTATCCTGCCTAAGACCCAATGAGAGTCAATATGATGCCTCTAACGTGAGTATTTTCTCTGATCCATCTTCTCCTCTTATACCACAGTATGCAGGGCTTCATTTCTCACTGGATATTTTTTCAGAGTTTTGCTGGACTGGATCGGCATAAGGCACTATCACTAGTATCCACAATAAAGTAACCTGTTATTTTTTTAATTTAAAGCTTTCGTGACTGCAGGGATTCATATTCTTGGTTCTTTCGGTAAAGTCACGTAGAAGGGAAATAATATTTCTATTGTTTTATTATTTCCCTTCTACGTGACTTTACCGAAATAACCAAGAATATAACCTGTTATTGTTATTATTAATGCTCTGAAATTCGTATAATAATACTGAGAAGAACGAGTCTAAGACAAATAAGGCGAGACGGATGTGGCATTGCCAAATTAATTCCGACTGAAACGAAGCGTTGAACGTACGCCGTCACAGATACCAGGTACACCCCATGAATCATCGACGTCTGTTCCGATTGCGTGGGCTGTCTGGTGGAGAGTGAGTGACGTGACGTTGCTCGCTGAGCGGCTGGAGGTTGCGAGGTGGGGGTCTCCCTCGGCTCTCGCTATAAATACCAGCTGGAGCCGGCCTCTCTCCTCACTTGTTGCGCACTTGCCGGCTACAGTTCCACAATCGCGCGCGCGCACACGCGCACGCGCACACACGCACGCGCACACACACGCGCGCGCGTAATTGCATAAGTCTTCACGCACATACGGCGCGAAAGAAGATCAACATTTTAAAGAAGATCAACATAATATTTCTTCACATACACACACATATATACCGACTCACACACACACTCCCAGCACACCTGTATAAAAAAAACAAATCACAGACAGGTATATTCATAATCACACACAGGTATCTACATAATATCCCACACACACACAAGGTGCCTGCATAATCACACACACACACACACACTTGGCACGCCCCCTACGTGGACTTACACACAACGCACGCAGCTAACCGGCATAATCTAACGCACACGACCACCTACGTAAACACTCACACGGGGGAGCCGCATCAAACAACCCAGGGGCGATAGCTGCCTAGTCGCACACGCACACGCGCACACGGCAGCCGCACTCAACCGCGCGCATGAACGCTCACGCCAACACAACCATGGACAGCGGCAGCAGGAGCTGCTCCAAGTACGCCCTCGCTAACGGCTTCTCAGCAGCGGCGCAGGAGGAAGGGGATGAGGAAGACGGCGTGAGAAGCGTCGAGGGCACTCTGCCTACTCCTCCTGCTCCTCCTCCACTCGTGCTCCCTGCGAGTCACTCGGAGCGCACGAACGGGCTGCAGGTGGTGCCCGCTCCGGCGCGCGTCGCGCACGCAGCCCCAGCGGTCCCAGCGGCGGCGTTGGGGCAGCTGGAGGCCGCCTACACGGGCATCCTGCGGGGCATCGGGGAGGACCCGGGCAGAGAGGGGCTGCTCAAGACGCCCGGCAGGGCAGCCAAAGCCATGCAGTTCTTCACCAGGGGTTACCACGAGAGGCTCGCGGGTGAGTTGAGTTGTGGGGTTTTTTTTTTATTTTGCGCTGCGAGATTGTGAGGCTGTCACGGACGTTGTTGCGCTTTGGCCGTGAGTGGAAATGTAACTCGCGTGGCCCGGGGTGGTAAGGCTCGCTTGCGTTGAATGATGTACGACGCAGCTCTCCGTGAACAGACGGGATTGTACGAATGCTGAACTTCTTTCACACCACAGCGCGAAACCAACCGCGCTAATCGGAGGTGTGGGGGAAGGACAACAAACTAAACACAAAGAGCAGTTCTCAAGAAACGCGTTGTCAGACTGTTGGAGCAGGTTCTGTTAGCGAACGCATATTAAGGTCGTCAGCATATTTGGCGTCCTCTGGTCTAACATCGTTTGAGACGAGGCTCAAAAGAAAGCTGTCTCTGGTGTGGACCAATCAGTTTCAAGGACAATGCATATATTATCAGAGTACGCTTTTTGTTTGCATTCTGACCACAAGCATTGTGGTTAATGCAGACATGCTTCCTTGTAAAAATGTTTCAGTTTGGTGTTTTAACATCTCAACACCTGTTTTGTTGCCAGAAAAAAGGGGAAAAACCTATAATCGCATATTAAGGTCGGCCAACGCCAGGCTCTGCTGCCTTCGTGTCCCCAGCGATGTATGGTCACAAGCAACAGCGGATGCAGTGCTCATACAAGACTGGGTCGACCCGAGGGGGGGGCTCAGGACCGTTTTCAATATTCCTCACCGATATTGGCCCCGTGAGCGGGAATCGAACTCAGCTGGCTGGGTTTGTAACGCGATAACTACGGCTCGCCACCACCGCTCCACACGCGCACAGCCTCTGAGTGTGTGAAAGTGCGAGCGGGGAGGGGGGGTATCGTAGTGGTTAGTGCAACTCGCGTTTCTGTGAGAGCGCGACGAACCTGGCGACCCGAGTTCGATTCCCGCTCACGGCTGAGCAGGCCCCACGTCGACTCAGCCTGAAATGAACACTTGACACGGTGCGTTAACATCAGTCCTGGGGAGACGGGGGGCAGCCGAGCGATGTGAACTAACTTCGCTTGGTGTGCAGGAGGTCGTGGGTTCGATCCGGACCCTGACGCCTGCATTTTTTCCGCGTGGTCGCGTGAATTTTTCTCCGAGTGCTCCGGGTTTTTCCCTCTACATTTAGAAACATGCGTTTTAGAGTATTTGGTTGCTGTACATTTCCACATGGTAAGCCACTTCGTTGAGCTGTCATTTGTGGGCAGGTCGCTTCTGAAAAAGAGCTTTACAGTGTAGCTCAGTGGACCTTACCTGGTAATATAAAAAATAGTTTAGTTTATACTTTATAGTTTGCCTGGCCTCACCACTCGCTCGTGCCGACCTTAATAGGCGCTCGCTAACAGCAATTGCGTCTGCAGTGTGTTCAGTATTTGTGAGTCTCGCTGGCAGGTCACGTAACACAATCACATCCGTGCCTTCATTTACGTGAATTCACTACGGCATTTGACACGCATCGTTGCACCCTCTCAGAGTGGGGTTTGGTATGCAAGTGAAAGTCATCAAATGAACACATGAATGTGTGTCAGAGGGGACTCGATGTGTCGGGTGCGTGTGCGTGTCCTGCCAGCGAGATTTCGTCACTCCACGTGGACTCAAAGTGCACCCATCCTGACGCCAAGCGCCATGGTGACGTGGGCCACCTATTGGTGGCGGGTGTGTGTGTGTGAGAGAGATTGTGCGTGTGTGTGTGAGAGATTGTGCGTGTGTGTGTGTGTGAGAGATTGTGCGTGTGAGATTGTGGGGAGCGCTAGTGTGTGTGGTGGTTAGTGCGCTGAGATACGAACCCGGCCACCCGAGTTCGATTCCGGCTCACGGCCAGCACCAATGACGATTATTTTAACTCGTGCTGGCTCTCCCCTCGGTGCTCGAATGAGTACCTGGTGCGGTGTGCAAACATCAGCACTGGGGAGACAAAGGCAGCCGGGCGTGGTGCTAGCCACACCCCCCCTTCATAGGTGCTCGCTAACAACACTTGCCCCAAGCATCTGTTAAGGCCATACAGGCGAGCTTTGTCTTTGTGTGAACTTGTGTGTATATGAATGCATATTCTTAGGTTTTTTTCGGTAAAGTCACGTAGATAAAAAAAATACAATAAAATTAATAAAAGTAAAATAAAATAAAAATCACGACGTTTCGGAGGCAACACAAGCCTCCGTCTTCAGGTGGAAGCTTATGTTGCCTCCGAAACGTCGTGATTTTTATTTTATATTTTACTTTTATTAATTTTATTTTTTATCTACGTGACTTTACCGGAAAAACCTAAGAATATGAATCCTTGCAGTCACGAATGCTTCAAATCTAGAATTATATGAATGCAGACAGCCGTTACCCCCGCAGTCTATTAAAACGTATTTGTGAATACAATTGTGGGAATTAATGTGTAGTGTGCGTGTGTGATAATTAATTAATGTATGAGCGTTGTGAGTCAGTGAACATGCATGAGTGTGAAAGTGTGAATGGGCACGTGGGGGCAACGCTGTGGCATTTGAGAGAATATCCGCGCAAGAGTGAATTCAAGTGTGATCGTGAATGCGCGGGTGTCTGTTAAAGAGATTGTGTGTTTTAATGTGCGCCGGAGTGAATTTACAAATGATCACACATGATTTGTTTAGGATAATTGCACATGCGTGAGAGTGAGCGAGTGATTTGAGTGCGTCAGGGTCTTTGCGTGCGCGTAGGTGTTTATACATTGCCGTGATCTGGGGCGCAGTGGTTAACATACTTACAATTGGAAATAACAATCACTAAAGAAGAATTCAAGAAGAAGGGAATAATTTATTCAGATTGCTTTAGGTTGAGTAACATCCCTGTTTCTAAACCAAACGTTTTTATTTTTCTCCGCCTTAAAAATGCGCTGCCATCAGCATCCTGGATTTAATTAGTGGTCAACACACTGGGCCACCGCCCCCCCCACGCCTAAGTTCAATTCCCGCTGACGGATACCATCAGCATCGAGCGATTCCTGCTGTGATGATGTGCTTCCCTTTAGCAGTGGATAGAGAAAAGTGCGTAATTCTATGATATTGATTATAACCATTTACTAACTGTAGCTTGGAGTCTATATTACATTATTACCAATATTGACGATCGATCCCTATCCCGTGAGCCAAGCAGCCAACTTATGCCTGCTCCGATTATGTGCAAACAATGGAACGTCATCTTCTTTGTTCTTTCGGTAAAGTCACGTAGAAGGGAAGTAATAAAATAATAAAAATAAAACATAATAAAATAATTCTCACGACGTTTCGGCTACAACCGAAAGAACCAAGAAGATGAATCCCTGCAGTCACAAAAGCTTTAAATCGAAATGGAACCTCAAGTAAACAACTGTCCACTGTTACTCATTCCCTGAAAACCACCCTTAAATGTCACTCCGCATCTGCTGAAGCTCCGGGACTGGATATCAAAACTTCATGTCACACTGCAATATCTTGATATTCCTCCATGGGACATCATTACCATCAGCACCAGCATCATTCAAGTGCTGTGTAGCAACATATATCACCACTGACATTTACAAACGGCTAGTTGTACTGTATACGTATGCCTGCCTGGAATTCATGCCATGCGGTCTACAGTGTTATCAGTTGTGATCGTTCTGGAAGGCCAGTGCATGTTTACTGATGGAAAGGCTCAGAGATTATGGGGTTATGAGGAAAAAAAAACACAAATGACACAGATGTACACACTGAAGCTTCCAGACAAAGGCACGTGTAACTGGACCGCTAGAAATGTAATAACAACAGCAACAGTAAAAGATTATTTGAGGAAATGACGGCACTAAAATTGCAGCAAAATTTGATTATGGCCAGGGCAAGGTTCACTATAGTCATCCGAATGGTTTAACACGTCAACCAATTTGGGTATGAGACCAGGCTCTTTTCAATAGAGATCTACTGGAAAATGTAAGCACAATTGCGTAAACATAAGTTGTATAAGTTCCAGTAAAAAAAAATATGCTAGCAGGCTCACAATTGGTGAAATAAATGACCTTAAATCAAGATTATACAGGGTGGATCAAAACTCAGGACACATAGGGCCATTATTGTTTTTTTTTTACAAATCACATAAGGTTATTTCATGCACGAATTCTCACCAATTGCATTTTGTTGTCTCAATTCATTCAGGTTACTTGGTCGAGTTTTGTCAACAACAGATTTGAGGTGACCCCACAGGAAGAATAAGAGAGTAGATATTCATAATGATAACGGATGGAATATTAACTTGAAGAATGAACAATAAAAGAAAGATGCCATTGTTAAAATAAATTACATTTTAACAATGGCTTTGTTAAAATATAACAATGGATCTTGATTTTACAGGGAGGAACAATGTTCCACACTGCCCACCAGGGATTATTTAGCTGTCTGTCTGACTGTCTGTCTGTCTGTCGTGCATAAATAAATATATAATACACACAGCTCTTTGATTGGTGGAGACCTTACAAACAGCTTATTGATTGGTGGAGACCTACTGCCGGGTACAGAGAGGGGAGGTGCCTAAGGGAGGAGGGTCAGGGGAGGGGCCTAAGGAAGGGGGGAGTCAGAGGGGCCTGAGGGGGGGGGTTCAGGGGAGGGGCCTGAGGGGGGGGGGGGGTCAGCGGAGGGGCCTGAGGGAGGGGGGGTCAGGGAAGGGGCCTAAGGATATGGGGGGGGGGTGCTCAGTGGAGGGGCCTAACAGAAGGGGGGTCAGGGGAGGGGCCTAAGGGAAGGGGGGTCAGGGGAGGGGCCTGAGGATATGGGGGGGGGGGTGGTCAGGGGAGGGGCCTAAGGGAAAGGGGGTCAGGGGAGGGGCCTAAGGGGGGGGGGGCCTAAGGGGGGGGGGGGGGCGATAGTTAAGGGGGCTGTCTGCCTGGCTACCTAAAGTCAAGTTATCTTTTATACATACAGGTAGGAACAACAGGTTCCACACTGCCCACCAGGGATTATTTGTCTGTCTGTCGTGCACGAATGCGCTGTCCAACCAAGTTCCTACCTGCCCACTCCGAAGGAACGTGTTTGGGCCACCTTATATGAGTCATGCATATGAGATTACATCCACACCTCTGGTGTTTTTGACCCTCTCACGCGTCGCACGCTCCGCGGACGCGGAGGAGTGAGCGGCTCGCAATTGTAAAGGTTGTGAGTTCAAATCGTGATTGTTGGTTGACTCAATCCAACATCTTTCTCGGGTCCATAGAACGAGTACCACATTGTATTCAAGCCAACAGCCGTTGTCCTGTGGAGAGACGCGTTCCTGCCATAGGAATGTGGAATTTCGGTGTTAATTTGGCACCGACAATGATCGGGGTTTCATTCAAGAAGGATTCATTTATTTAATTTTTTATCTGTTATTGCATCCATCAGCATCCTGATTACATTTGTCTGTGATTGGATTT